AATCCTGGATTGGACACACCTGGGGAAATGACAAAAATCTGAATTCTAGAGGTAGCCCATGAATTATACAATGGGCCACCATAAAGAAGGTGCATGACACTCCAGGAGTGAGGAAGGATGGTCTGGGGATTGGTTCTAGCTGTGTCACAGGCTTGCTCTATGACCCTTGGGTAGGTCCTTCAGTTAGGTGCCTAAATACTTAAAAGGAGCTGGGCTTTCTGTGTCTTAATTTCCCCATTTTACAGTTGGGAATAACAATATTTATCTCCCTTGCAGGGTGTTGGGAAGGTAAGTAAATTAACATGCCTAAAGCATGTTGAGAGCTTCAGATAGAGGCTGCTGTAGAAATGCAACATATGGTCAGTGTATGCTCAGAAGGGAGTCTGCCTGTGATCTCCTACTGTGTCATTCTAAAGAGCTAGTGAGGGAGCTTGTGAAGGGAAAGGCAATGAGTAAATATGTTCACTTTGCTGGGGAAAGTCCTCGGGTGTTTCACCTAGCAATGTCTTGCTCTTAACACTTAGTATTGTCTCAAAATACTTTCCTAAATGTCTGAATTCTCATCCTTGAGCAAAACTTTCCTCTATTGAAAGAGTTAAGAGGCAATAGGAATTTGCAAATAGGAAAAAAATGCATAAAGGCTGATTGTTTAGAAATGCTTTACAGCTGAAAGTAACAGAGCAATCTTAGGGGAAATCTAAACTTGCTTATTTGGAGCTTTCTTTGCCTGCTGGAGGTGATTTGGTTATAGAAACAGCTGTTCAACTCTTTTCCTGCTAGACTCCTTCCCTGTAAGAACTCCCACTATGTATGTCAAGCTCAAATCCGTTTATGTAATTTACTGTCTGTGTTTTTCTCGACAGTTTAGTTATCAGTGTGACTTTAGACATCTGACTTATGGTAGGACTATTATTATTCAGGTTCCATAATGAATTTCATGAATTCATGTGCAAAGACTTCCAGATTAGGTTACCAACCTGTGTCAGGTTCTCATTTCAACTCAGAATTTTATAAATGCTGTGTTTGGTGACAAGGTTAATTAGTTTGTTCAGTGCTTTGAAAATACAAAGAGCTGTATAAGAAGTGCCAGGTGCTTTACTGAGATACAAGCAGTTACTCAAGAATTGCTTTAAGAAGTGGAATACTTTTAGTGACATATTTTTTCAGCACTTCTATATGATTCAAATCAGTTCCCTTTGGTATTTTTCTGGCATATGTTGAAAGCCAGAGCTGATGATAATCTTCCATTTATATAGCATTATTATCCTAAAAACATTTCACAGATTATATAGGAATCACTTAAATCCGCACAGGAACACGAGCCACTCTTGGGTGGAAGTGGCAGCTATTTAACGCTACCTAGCAATGTTACCCAATAATTTAGAACAAGCAGTAAGGAAGATTACTGGGCCACGCTGCTGATAGGGTCCTGGGACTATGGCCTGGTCTACACTACGGGTTTAGGTCGACTTTAGCAGCGTTAAATCGATTTAAGCCTGGACACGTCCACACGACGAAGCCCTTTCTTTCGACTTAAAGGGTCCTTTAAACCGGTTTCTTTACACCACCTCCGACGAGGGGATTAGCGATAAAACCGGCCTTTGCGGGTCAGAATTGGGGTAGTGTGGACGGAATTCGACGTTATTGGCCTCCGGGAGCTATCCCACAGTGCTTCATTGTGACCGCTCTGGACAGCACTCTCAACTCAGATGCACTGACCAGGTAGACAGGAAAAGACCT